AATATTAAATTGGTGCCTACATTATTTAAATGTCCTCATGTAGCTTTCAAGTCCTTTCCTTGTCCAGTCCAACTTCCTTGTTTACCCTAAGTTCCAGGCACATCTCTCTACTTTTTTTCGAGGATTCATTCCTCAGAACATCCATTCTTATTTCTTCAGCCTGAAAGCCTGGTCTTCATTCAACAAATACTTGTTGAAAGTGTGCTGGGGTTTCTAGCTCTTTCTCTGCCTCTCTTACCATCTACAATAGCCCTTGCCCCTTCCAGTAGAAAACATGCCATTATAAATGTCACCTGGCTGCTACACAGAAGGTAGGACGGCAGGGTGATCATGTGCCCTTGCTATAGACTTCAAATTCTGTACAATAACCTGCTCACTGCCCAACACAAAGCATTCAAGGGGCGCTAAGTAAATTGATGTAATGAAAACAAAAAGCCCAGTTTGTTTTATTGTTCTGTTGCTGCTGTCTTTGTTTTTCCTGGCCATGCATTTGTATTCCATTCCTTACCCTGTTCTCTTTACTGCTCGAGGCAGAGGGAACGGGAAGGAAAGAGAATTCCCCAGACAAAACACTGGCAGATGGAGTGGAGAGGCTCCCCTAGGACACTAGTAGCAAGAGAAACTGAATAGCAGCGTCCACGGATGTTATTTTTAAAAGAGACTCACAATAGTTTTGTCAGCGTAATGCTGGAGAAGAAATGAGACAGATTCATTTTCTCTTTCCTTCTTCCTTCCTCCCTCCCTCCTCCCCTGCTTCCCTTCCTCTCTCTCATTCATTCATTCTTGCTCTTCCTTTCTCTCCTTTGCATCCCACTTCCTTTCTCTTTAAACCTTTTCAATTCGGTTTATTGATTTACCGGGATAGAAGGGGTGCCAGGGTGCACATCTGGAAGTTAGGTGCACTTCGGAGGTGTCGGCTCTCTCCTCTCATCAGGTGGAAGGATTGAATTCAGGTTATCCATCAGGCTTGATGTCAAGTGTCTTTTCCCACTGAACCATCTCTCTGGCCTGAACCTTTCTTTTTTTAATCCTAGCTCTTCTCTATCTTTTGACTATTTGGGTCTGCCTGTCTGTGGCTCACCTTATTATCTAGTTGTGTAACTCTTCTCCTGTCCGTATCTGGATTTACTTCCCTCCACTCTCTGATTCTGGTTCTAATCAGATTTATCTTGATCCTCAATCCAATCATGAAGAAGTAAGCCTTTACTAGAACTTACCTTTAGTACAATTTTCTGCAATACTGAGAGAGCCCTTTGCATGGGGGAATAAATAAGTCCTCTTAGAAGGTAGATACTATGTAATTTTATTATAATTTCTCCCTCTGTCTTCACATTGAAGGAAGAGAAAGGTGGTACCCAAGTTAGCTAACCACATAATGTTATCCTTAAGAGGTCATATTTTATCATTCTGCTGAGTAAAGACAATATCTCTCTGCTGGGCATAAAAGCAATGCTCATATTTCTCACTCTCATAGCAGTTGTCTCTGTGGCCTAGAATTGGACAGTATAACTTGCTACAGTCCCCTTCATTGGGTTTGGATTTATAGTGGATTTCCCTCAAGTTAGATCTTAAGTTTTATTGTATCTAAATTGGCCACTGTCCCTGGTCACTGTGAAGCTGTGAGAAGTGCTGACCTTGTATTCTTTCCCTGTTAGAAGTACCTAACATGCCTGGCAGTGGTGGCGCACACCTTTAATCCCAGCACTTGGGAGGCATAGCCAGGCGGGTCTCTGTGAGTTCGCGGCCAGCCTGGGCTACAGAGTGGGTTCCAGGAAAGGTGTAAAGCTACACAGAGAAACCCTTTCTCGAAAAACAAAAACAAAGAAGAAGAAGAAGAAGAAGAAGAAGAAGAAGAAGAAGAAGAAGAAGAAGAAGAAGAAGAAGAAGAAGAAGAAGAAGAAGAAGAAGAACCTAACATGTTGGTCACTGGAGCTTTCAGCTGGCTTACACTCATCATCCAATAATTAAATTATAATGAATTGACTTATTCTGGCATATGTGATAATATTTTACTATGTAAACTGTTTGCAGAAATAAGCAACAATTTTGGAGCTTGGAAGAGACTCAACATTCTGCTGCTCCTGAATTCAGTGACTCCATTTACAGATAACAACATAAAAATTCAATTCCTTTTCCCCCATGAGCCCAGGTTCTTTCTAGAAGGTAGAATGTTTGAAGTATTTCAACTCAGTATTGATTTAGCAAGCTGATTTAAATTCAGCCACTAAGAAATGAATTGACCCTTTAGAAGAAAAGCATTTTTCTTGTCATGATTATTTTAGAATGTACAAGGCATATTTAGGTTCATTTCCTGTGTGGGTGTTGTCCTGACGGGGACAATTAGATCCACATTATAGGTAGGGGACAGAGAGGAAGAGGAAAAACTATGTTTTAACATTATATAGGTAGTGCAAGGGGCAGAGGCGAAACCCAAGTCTTTGATCTTAAACTCAGTATCTTCTTCAGAGTTCTGCTCCACTATTTTGGAATAAATATTGGATGATCTAGATCAATCTATAACCTAAGAGGGATCCTACATCCTAATTTACCTGGGATGTTAAGATTTCTGTGTGCCTGCCATTCAGACATAATAGCATGTTCTTTACTCTCAAAGTGTTATAGTTCAGATGCTATATTATACAGTGTGTCTCAGACAACTATTTGGGAAGTCTAGAACCCTCCAGAATGGCTACAGCATGAAGACCTAGTGTCAGCACAGTATAATTAGTGTTAAAGTGGAGATTTTGATGAAATGGGCATGTTACGCTGAGGGGGCTCCTTCGCTTTGCCTAGAAGCACTGGGAGTAGTACAGAAGAGCTGACACTAGGTTTTAAAGGATGATCTCCTAGGGATATCCACCTTGCTCTCTCCCTGCATTACTCTTAATTGCATATATAGGTCATACCTTCTCAGATGGCATCCTCCTCATTACTCCTCTGATGCTTGTCCTTACCGTCAAGTGAGCATCCTTACAACCAGTCACAGCTTAGACAAAGCAACAAAATGAAACAAAAAATACAAAAGAAGGTTGCTACAGTTTGAATTAGGCAGGAGATTGATCACTTGGTATTTCACTGAGACACCTAAAGTATCATATAAGACCATAGGCATATTAGGATGGGTTCTTGGAATCCCAGTTCTGTAGCTGACTTCTTTGCACTAATGATTGAGCCCAGAGAAGAAAAGAGACTAACTAATAAAACACAGCAATTTACTTTCTGGGAGTAGACTGAAGTTGGTTTATTCTTTATGCAAAACTGAAATCCTTGTTGGAGTTAAGTAAACTCAGGTTGCAAGCTTAAGGTCCTTTGCTGTTGGATAACATGCCCCGGACTTGCAAAGTAAGTTCCTAGATCTGACATTAATAGACGTGTGACTCGGGCAGGCTATTAAAGACATACAACATTTCGTTTTCTTTACTTAGATGCTTTGGTTTGGGATTAAAACCTTCGTCACATTGTGGATGAGTGCCACTTGAGAAGAGTGAAAATTTATGAATTTTGTTGTGGGTGGGACAGGAGATCCACACATGAGATCTGCCCTCTCAGCATGTTCTTGATGTGTAGTCAGATATGCCAGCCTGAAGCACCAACCTGTGCCCCAGGTTTCTAGAACGCTTTCATTGTGCCTGATTAAAACTCTTGGCCGGTTTCTAGCACAACAATCAGGGTGTTTGGCCATCCCATCACCAGAGTAGGTCAGTTCGGGCTGTATCTCGACCATTGCCGGCAGTCTGTTGTGTGGGTATCTTTGTGGATTTCTGTGGGCCTCTCTAGCACTTTGCTTCTTCCTGTTCTCATGTGGTCTTCATTTACCATGGCCTCCTATTCCTTGTTCTCCCTCTCTGTTGTTGATCCAGCTGGGATCTCCCGCTCCCCCAAGCTTCATCCAACTACTGAGGGATCTGGATGCAGAGATCCATGACTAGGCCCTGGGTGGATCTCTGGGAGTCCAATTAACGAGAATGAGGAGGGTTTATATGAGCGAGAATTGTTGAGACCAAGGTTGGATAAAGCACAGGGACAAATAGCCAAATGAATGGAAACACATGAACTATGAACCAATGGCTGAGGGGTCCCAACTGGATCAGGCCCTCCGAATGGGTGAGACAGTTGATTGGCTTGATCTGTTTGGGAGGCATCCAGGCAGTGGGACCAGATCTTGTGCTCATTGCATGAGTTGGCTGTTTGAAACCTGGGACCTATGCAGGATTGTTTGGCTCGGCCTGGGAGGAGGGGACTAGACCTACCTGGACTGAGTCTACCAGGTTGACCTCAGTCTGTGGGGAAGGCTTTGCCCTGGAGGAGATGGGAATGGGGGGGGGGGGCGTTGGGGGGAAGGTGAGGGGGACGGGAGGGGGGAGAACAAGGGAATCCGTGACCGATATGTAGAACTGAATCGTATTGCAAAATAAATTAAAATAAATTAAAAAAAAAAAAAAAAAAAACTCTTGGCCGTTGCCGTTTCCACCCCCTCCCCTCTGGATCCCCGCTGCACTTTCTGCTCTCCGTTTTCAGACTTTTTACTCATGTGTAAATGGAGTCATGCAGCATTGAGCTCCTTTACTCAGCACGATGCCTGCCTGTTTCATACTGTCCAATGGTTCTCACCCTCCCTAACCCTGTGACCCTTTAATAGACTTCTTCATGCTGTGGTGACCCCCTGGCCACACAATTATTTTTGCTGTACTTCATAACTGTAGTTTTGTTATTGATATGAATCATAATGTAAATATCTGATATGCAGGATAGCTGATGTAAGACCCCCAAAGGGGTCACAATCCACCTTTGAACCACTGAATAAGCTGTTGTGTATGGCAGGACTTCTTTTAATTTTTTTTTCCCCTTAAGGCTGAAGAAGAGTATCCCAATGTAACTTCTGACTATAGGTTTAACGGAGCTTCTGGGTTGGATGTTCTGCGCCACAGCTGCTGCTGATAGCTAAGGCCAAAGAACACGTATTTGCTTACTGACCCCCTTTCTATGTCCCCCTCCTACAGATGAACCCAGCCGGTGTTACTTCCATGATGGAGATGGGATGTGTGAAGAGTTTGAACAAAAAACTAGTATTAAAGACTGTGGCGTCTACACACCCCAGGGATTCCTGGATCAGTGGGCATCCAATGCTTCAGTATCCCATCAAGACCAGCAGTGCCCAGGTTGGGTTGTTATTGGACAACCAGCGGCATCCCAGGTAAGCACCTAGCCTTGTGGGGCTTCTTCTGAAGGCTTCTTTAAATCTCTGCTGAGGCTCTCAAAGTGCCTGCTTCTAACAGAGTGTCATGGGATGTCTCTACCTGAGCACTTGTTTAGCCAAGTGTCATACCAGCACCTCTTCAGTCCCATTGGTTAAGGATAAGGGATGCAGTGGTGAAGGGGAGGGAAATACAAGCATCATGGGAACAGCAACTGTCCCCCTATGCCCTTCTTACTGTGACTCAGAGATGGTAAAGAACTCTGTGTTGAATATACCATTGGAATTCAATGTGAGTGAGAACAATTTGGGAAATCACAGGTTTTTTTTTTTTTTTCCTTTTGACAGGAACTCTCAATTTGTCTACTGACTGAATTAAGAGCGACCATAAACACATTTGCTGTATAGTCTCTCCACTTTTCTGGTTTCTACTTTTTCTCCCCAATATTTAAAATAGGAGTTTAGCTTGATGTACCTCAGGGACATTGCCAGTTCTAAGAAGCTCTGACTCATTCCGTAGTCCCCTAATGCACTATTTATATGACAAGGCTCGCCCACAGGGGACTGATAGCCTAGATGAGGGGTGGAGAGTTTGGGGGCTACCAGAGCTTATGTGATCCTGGAGATGGCTGTGCCTCCCTCGAGCCTCCTTTGCAATTATCCTGCCAAGAAAACACCTGCCTTCTTCTGAGACTCCCATTTCTCAGAGACACGACACAGTACTTCCCGCTGTCCAGCACCGTGGCCATTTCTGAAGCCAGCCTGCGCCTTGGCCTTGCAGATTCTCAGTCATCCCTCTCTAATTCAGCTTCTTGATTTCAAGTTCATTGGGGGGTACAATAGGCATTTAGCTGAATGAGAAATAGGACTTTGGATTGAGGTCCAATGAAAATTATTGAATGTGGTGTAAGGTAGCACCTCTCATATATTCATTTTCATCTTTATTTGATCATCTCTTCATCTCTCCTACTTAGGTTCCCATTATTAAATTCTTTATTTGCTCATTTGTATGTGTAAGTGGATGCCCTCAGGAGAGTGGAATGGTGTGGGTACTCAGGATCCCCTGGTGCCTCTCAGGGCCAGTGCCAGCCTGGCAATGATTGGCTCAGCATTCCCCCTCTCACTGTGCTGCGTTGGCACTTGCTGGACTCACCTGTGTGGTCCTACGTGCACAGAGAATTTCAAGTGACTTATCTGTGTCCCCTCCTGTCTCCCACAGTGGACTTTCAGAGTTTTGAGAACGGACAGAGCTTCATTTATCTTTTCCCCTCCTCAAAGTGCACACACACACACACACACACACACACACACACACACATACACACACACACACACACATACACACACACACGCGCGCGTGCACGCGCACACACACACACACACACACACACACACACACACACACACACACACCTGCTTACAAGTGACACCAAGAGATGACCAGCCATTGTTTCTCCATCATATCAAAGGTGCAGGAATTCCAAGTTCAACTAGCATCCCATTCTTAGAGATGGTTGAAAACACCCCTCAAGTGAGCTAATTATTAGTACTCTAGGAACCTTTCACACACAGGGGCAATAGGATCAACCATGCTTAAAAACCAGCCAAAGATTTTTGCTAGTAATGTGAGCAAAAGGAAAAAAAAATTCCCAGTCTCATTTGAAATAAAAAAAAAAGACTTTCATGGGACAATTAATCCAATCTTGTAGGGAGAAGGCTGTCAGGAATTATGGCTGATTAGTTCTTCCTAAACAAAAATCCAATTAAAAAAATCATTATAAATACTAGCTCCTCAATCTATAAAGACGAGAGAAGGAAACAAAATCATCCTATTGAATTATTCATTGTTACCAATTTTATTTTAATGAAATCGACTAGGTTCCATTACTCTGAGCTTGGATATAATTTTTGTTACAAGGAGACTTTGGCTGTAACTAAATTTGCCATAATGAGATCAGCTCGCTGGAGTATACAGGGTCAGGGTGTGCAGGTTAGATGCAGAATCAGGAAAACAGTGGCTTGTAAGGGCACAGAACAACAGTGTCCCAGTTTCCTCACTTAAAAACAAATGCCCCTACCCCACATATATACATGTGCCCATGCACACAGGTACAGCCATGTGCACACAAACATACACACACTCATAGAGACAGCATGAAGTCTGCTTCCTTCGGGGTAAGCACTATTCCTGAAGTGAAGGTATTGCTCCCTTCTGACAACAGGAAAGGAGAAACCAAACCCTCATTACCTTGTTCAGTGATTAGAGGAGACTAGTAGTTAATTTTCACCCTGTCAAGGGCTCCAGTGAAGATGTTGATGTAGAGAGAAGAGAAGCTGGGAGGCTCTTGAAAGTTGAATCGAAGAATAAGATAGAAAGGTGTCCCCTGGGTCCCTCACCTTCCTTAGGCATCATCTTCCTATTCCTTCTCTTTCTCCCTCTCCCTTTCCTTTTTATTTCCTCTCCTTCCTCGTCTTCTTTTCTTCCATCCTCTTCTCATCCTTTTCCCTTATACCCCACTCACACATGTAAATATGAATAGGCCCTAGTGAGCTCAGTCCTGATACTGATCAAATCAATGCAGGAGAATAGAGGTAAAGCAGCCAGTAGTGGCCGAATTTCCCCACCTCCCATGCTAAACACACACACTTATAGCCAACTAGCTTGCCTTTTTCATGGTAAACAATTTGTTGTCTGCCTTGGAGCCCTGGAGGAAATGTGCTGGTCTCCCAACTCAGTATGACTCCTGTATGTAAAATAACTAATCTTCAAGGAATATCTTGGAAGGTGACAGTGGGAGCCTAGAGATATGAGGTCCTATCCAAAGTGGGGGAGTTTTTGGATTCCAGGGAAACAGGCAGAGTTCTAGATGACAGGTGTCAGGGGCTCAAATCTCCCTGGAGCAGAATCATAGTCCCTTGGAACTGAGGCTGCTCCCACTCTCCGCCACACACACTGACCCTGTTCTGCGGTCTTCGGTCTTTACCAGGATGAGCTTGACCTGAGAGATTATGAAAAAGATCAGCCATTCCCTCTTCCCCTTTACAATCCATTTTGTTTCACTCTCCACAAGCCTTTCTGTGTTATTATAAAAATGAGAAAAACTTAGGTATTTGCTGAGACTATGTACCTAAACCCACAGAAGTATAAGACCCCACCTCTAACCTCTGTACTGTGTAAAGACATAGGTGTGAGAACTCTCTCCAAACCGTAGCTGCCTCAGAATAATTCTGCAGGAGCTTGGACTAGTGAGAATGAGGAACACTCTTTGTGTTATGTGAGCTTAGAATACCAATTTAAACTTGAGCTTTGATTTTGCATAACACTGCCACTTCTAATGATTTCCAGTCTCTCTCCCTCATTCTCCTTAAGCAAGTTCCCCAAATTTGGTTATAGTAAAGCTACCCATGAATGCTGAGTCTTGTATCCAAATGTTATCAGACATATCAAAGCTTCCTAGTTGTGCAAATTGGGCCGAATATTCTATACTAAGAGACATTCTTTGGATATTTGGGCTATGCACCTTCCTGAACCAGCTGGAATCAAGAAGTTCCTGTAAGTGAACAAAAATGGAAATAAAGAAAGAGAATCAAGTTATCTCTCTTCTGGGAACCTTAGAAATGGTTCAGTTTGGTTTGGTTTAAATGCTTGCAAAGATCTTGTCTTATTCATACTTTGTTTCCATGCCTCACATTTCTCTAATACTTTACACCAAAAGCTGCCAAAACACAAAGTAGATATGCCTCCCTTATGCTCTCATCCCCAGAGCTTCTACCTAGGACTATTTCCTCCTGTCTAAACAGGCAGCCTCTCTTTGCCATGACTTAAATAAGAGATGGAGATACTCCAATGATCTAGAATTGGCAGTGCTCGCAGGGACTACAGAGCATCAGTCAACTAACCTGTTTATTGGGTTAAGCTTTGAGGGTAAACTTAGACTGACCAGGGCAGTCATTTGAGGGCCACAGTAAAGCAAACCTTTTCTAAGGATAAATGAGAAATGAGATCTATCCATACTGAGGGGAGGACTGTGATACCAGAAGCTCCTCCTATCCTGAGACTTTCTGGCTGGTTCAGGCTAGACTGCTGGTTCTATGGAGATTCTTGCAATAGAGAGCAGCTGGGACTTCACCATATCTTCTTTTTTTGTAATTGGTTTCAATTGGATATGCAATTTACCTTTTGGAGAGTGTGTCAGTCTTTTACAACTTCACTCTGAGTTACTATCATCTGGTCCTTGACATGCTCATCTTATTTTTTTGCCTCCATTAAAATACAAACCACGACATAACTTGTACTATAACAATCTGTGTGTAAATTCACTTATTTGTTTGGTTAAAGAGAGGTATACTTGTAGTCTGCATCAGTGAGTATGAAAGGGAGAGCATGCACAATAATAAGGAAAAGGTTTGGAAAACGCAGTGTGTTATTTTACATCTAAACTTTAACACATGCCAATCGGGCTTTGCCCTCCTAACTTCTGTTCCTGGAAACACTGGGCAAACAACTCCTCCAGGAAGCTCAGTGTCCTCCTTTGAAAAATGGGAATAACATCTACACAGTGGAGATTAAGGATGCAAAGAAAGCAGTGAGCACTGGCTTTTTGTACTTAATCGGTACTACCAATGTCAGTGACCTGCCTCATTCATCTTAGGTTTCTCTATACACTTTCACCCAGAGCTGACCACAGTGACCCACACAAGAGAGACAATTGGTTAAATTTTAGCCAGTTAATCATTATTCTCAACAGCAAACATTTGCTGCACTCCTAGGACTGTATCAGGTATTCTGGGAATCTCCAAGAAAACCAAGGGCCTCATTCTGCTCTCGGAGAGCTTACTGTTACACCCAAGGGGTGCATACACCTGGAAACAGTAGTCAAAGATCTCAGGGTGTAAAATCCAGGGGAGATTCTGCAAGGAAGAAAACACACAGTTGTCAGCTTGCTCTGCCAGCTGGGATTACAACCAGCATGGTGTGTGGAAAAGTCCTTTGCCCACTT